CAGAGCATCTTTCATCGCACCCTGCTCCCTATCATCAGAGTATCTTTAATACAGGAATATGACTGCTTCAGCATTTGCCCTCCTGGAAGTCACATTGCAGTCCCCAACCTGCAGAGTAGTCATGGAATGTTAAACTAGCTTAACTTCCACAGCCCTGGAGTCAGGCAATAACTGCCAACCTGAGACCGACTTAGAAGAGGGCTGTGGCCAGGCTGGAGAGATGGATCAGCAGTTAAGAGCACTGGCTGCTCTTCCAGAGGATGCTGGGTTCAATTTCCAGCACCCACATGGCAGCTCACAATTGTCTGTAACTGTCCCAGGAGATCTGACACTGTCACACAGACATACAGACAGACAGACACCCACTTAGCAGTTTATTCTATCCAATTCTGCCCTGGGCACAGCCACCTCCTGGGGTCTGGCTGGCACACATGCAGTTTCAGAATTGGTTCTGGTATGTACCCATCACTAAGGAAGAACCAGCTTTCATTTTATATTTTGAAAAATATTTTTTAATGTAGCAGGAATCTTAAAAGGGTCTTATTAATAAAATCAAATCTGGAGTCAGGTATTGGGGTGAACGCTGGAAGATCAGAGAAGCAGAACAAGCCACAGCTTCCTCACCTCGCCAGTTCCTCAGCTGATTCTCTTTCCTCAGACTGGAAGCCTCTGAGTTCTCATCCAAATGGATCTCAGCTGACTGCTGCTAAAAGCCTAAAAGCTTAACCAAGCTCTAGTTCCTCATCCTCACGCCGTAAATAACTTTCTGCTTCCTACCATCATTTTATTTTTTATTAAATGTATTTAATTTTGGAAGTGGGGAGCAGTGTGCCACAGCATGTGTATGGATGTCGGAGGACAACTTTTGGGAGTCAGTTCTCACTGTTCATTATGTGAGTCCCAGGGAGCTAACTCAGGTTGTCAGCTTGGCAACAAACACCATTCCTCACAGAGCCATCTTGCCAGCCTGTAGTTTTCAAAATATATTTTTGTTAGGTATTACTGATTGCAATGCTGACTTAAAAAGGGGAAAGCAGCATACTTGTTGCCTGAAATAAGAACTGGAAATTTCTACGGCTTAAAGCTGATGGTGACTCATTTAAGCTCAGGAACTGTTTCCTAAGGAATCACGGACTTGAATTACATCAGTTATTTATTATAACTCTGCCCTTTTGTCCTGTTTCCCTTCGTTTCCCTAATCTCATATTGGCGGAAAGGGAATTGGTGATGCGGAACCCTTGAAAAGTGCATTTGTTCCGCGGTTCTCGGCACTGTGTAATTTGAGCATTGTGATGCTTGGCTTCTGTTCTTTTCTACTTGTTCTCAGCTTTTCATTTGGCTGCTCTGTAAGCTCTCTTTCTAATGCTTGAATTGCAAGGATGCACAAAAGAAGCTGCTTTTATGACATACTAAGAGAAGGATGTCCTGTTCCAACTTTATAATAGTAGACTTGGAGATAAGTATTCTATTTCAGAAAGATTGAATACATTCTACTCAGAAGCAGCTTCTGATAATTAAATTTAGGGCACCAAAAACCTAATGAGTGATTTTTGACTCAACAATATTTTTATTTAGCTAATAATGAAGATATACTTTTATTGTGTTGATGGCTTTGCCTGTTAATACTTCGTTTTCATTTAATCAAACAAAAATGGATATGCATTATTGGACTGTCTTCATGATATTTACTTTTTTCTTTTTACTATATTATGGACTATTTAAAATTATTTCATATTTGCTGAGTTAGTAATGATGACTCATTTTCATTGAAGTTAATATGCAAATATTTTAAGTCTTGGATGGGCGACCATCCAGGTCATCTGTTGCCCTGTCTCCTGCCCCATAGCCCATCTGTTTTATTTTGCAGCAACACTACTGCTTACATATTCTCCATGCTGTCTTTAACAGAAACTCACTTATTGACCAAACATCTCATATGTACAGTAATACATTGTACAGTATACATTGTAAGACACTTTAAAAATAATATATGATGTTTTATCATTTAAAACCATTTTGTGTTGTATGGATGAGGTGGGAAATGGTCAAGGAGGAGACCCAGAAATAATGGGCAATATATCATAAGACAATTGGGAGGAAGGAGACATCTGTAAACACAGGTGAATTTTAGGTAAAGTTTATCTTTGTCTCTCCCGTGTTATCTTCCCATCATCCAAGGCTTTTTCCTACCATGTTACCCTATTGCTCCCAAATGATTGTGAGTTTCATAATTACCTGTAAGGATTGGCGTCTCAGCACTCCCGTCAGTCAGCTCCTCCCTCCTCCATCTCAAATCTTGACCAGTACAATTTGTTATTAAATGTTTGATAATGGAACTAGAGAGATAGCTCAGCTGGTTAAAAGCATGTACTGCTCTTCCAGAGGATCCAAATTCAGTTCCCAACGCCCACAATCGGGCAGTTCACAACCACTTGTAACTCTAGTTCCAGGGGTATCAGCTGCCTCTGGCCTCTATGGGAGCCCGCACTCACTCGCATACACCCTCACATAGACACACACGCACACAAGATTAGAAATAACCCTTTTTAAAAAGCTTTTCATTTTAATTTGTTTTTAAATTACTTTTTTAAATTATGAATGAGCCAAAGAAGTGAGGCAAACTACAATCCCAGTAACTTGAGAAGTAGAAGCAGGAGGATCGTGAGATTGAGACCAGTCTTGGCAGTGTGGGAAGAGCTTGCTTTCAAATGTCATGAGGCTGCCCTTGGCTGCACGGTGTGTTGTACGTCGCTGCCATGTTTTTAGTTGGGACCAGGAGAAGAGTGGTTTTTTCTTTCTTTCTATTTGGCTGCAGACATTTAAGGACCTCTCCGTGGGGTCAAGCACTGAAATGATTGAGCAGAGGCTTCCCTGACCATACATAGTAATGAATACAGTCTGCAAAAATAGCTTGAAAATGTCACTGAATGAACAGATGGCTACCGTTCTCCACAATTAGCCACAGAAAATCTCCAGAAAAGAGGGGGAAATCACATCTCCAAGGTTTCTGCACCATTCTATTCAAGTACTTGGTTTTCATTTAAGAAGTAATAAAATAATTATATAATCTAGCATTTATTACAATAAACATAATGCAATTATAATTTAATTTTTAAGAACCAAATATGTGCATTTTAACACTGCTCCATGGACCTCTTATGCTTTTTGGTAGCCCTAGTGTTATATTTGTAAGTTAAAAGGGTCAGTGGAAAACTAGGTAATACCTAATATTCAGCATTCTTTGATGACATTCATGTGTTATAATAAACCTCCATGCAGTAGACACTTCACAGATCAATTCTATGGACTATTCGCTGAGTAAGAAGTTGCTTATACATGTATACAGCTGGTCTAAGAAGTGATCCACTGCTCAAAACCGGGCTAGAATCCTTTCGGGTGATGACATTTCAATTGTTCTGGAAAAGAAATGCTCTCATTCTACAGAGGTTGCTAGTCTCAGTGTAGTGGCTGTCTTCCACTTGTACCCTTAAACCCATCCTCCAGGCCACTCTATGCCTCAGGAGGTTGGTGTGTGTAGAATTCCCCCACAAGCTCCCTTCCCTTCGGTGATAGTGGAGCCATGGAGAATGCCAGCAGTGACGGGAATGAGGTGTACACAGAGGCTGGATTGTCATTCACTTATCCCTTGTCTGGTGACTCTCTTTATAAAGCCTTGTCCATCTCTAGTTCCAGCTACAGCTCCCTCCCCTCATCCCTTCAGGTTCATAAATGGTCATATCTCCTCACCCCACCCAGGCTCTCTTTTGCCCTAGGACACTGCCCTGATCTTTATGGTATCTTTACCCTTATATAAAGACTGTCTCTTTTTTAGACTCTCCTCATACTATCCAGTCTGAAAGGCCTCTCTTTCCTATTGAGACCCACCATCAATATTCTGAAGTGGCAGGTGATCAGATTCCTGCAGATAATAAACAAGGTTGAGGAGAGGCTGGACATGGTGGCACACACCTTTAATTCCAGCACTGGGGAGGCAGAGGCAGGAGGATCTTTGTGAGGTTCAAGGCCAGCCTGGTCTAGAGTGCATTCCAGGACAGCCAAGGCTGTTACACAGAGAAACCCTGTCTTGGAAAACTAAAAGAAAAAAAAAAAAAGGTTGAGAATGACAAGTACAAGGCAAAAAGAGTGAGCAAGTCCCTGATTTTGTAGACCCAGAGGCCAGTCCCCAGGGGCCTGATTTCTGCAACTTTTCCTTCCACTCCATGGAGTTATTTTTAGATTGCAGCATCATTTTATTACTGTGAACGGTACACTCTGTGGCATACGGGCAAGTAACAGGAGTCCCACTAATGCTTGAGTTTTCTGTTACTCGAGAGAGAACTGTGCTAGAATCATTTCATGCCGTATAAAACTACATAAGATAGGCACTGAGTAGCTCCAGGCATGGCAAATAGCGATTGGAATAACACCTTCAGAGACGGCTGAACTGTGCAGAACTCATCCCCAGGCTTCCTACCCTCCGCCCCCACTGGAAGTCAGAAGGAAAAGAAGCCTGTAGCGTTCCTGAGACAGTTGAGTTCGCTCAGAAGTGCCATCAGAGATCTCACTATAAGGGTGTTTTCTATTGAAGTATACAAAAGCACTTTTACGTTTAGTGGGAGATAACTATTTATTTCCAGGTACTCGGTCAGGATGTCCTTTCCCAGCACCCTTTGCTTAACTTCCCTGGCTTTTCCCTGGCATAGATAGTATCATATGCCTATCCCTGAGCACGTAGCCAAGGCAAGGAGGTAGAACTGTGCTAATTAATATAAGTCTGAGCTCTGGAGCCCCGGTCAGGGGTGTAGTTACCGTCCCCAGAAGCATCTGGGCTCACAGTAGGGAAGCAGCTGGGAGGATGATAATGAAAATCAGGAGAACTACTAACAGGAAAGGGAATGGATGTGAGGGAGATAACTGTGTCTTCTGTGGCTTACCAGCTACATAAGCCAGCCGGTAATTTCCTGCTTAAACTAGTTACGTCCTTTTTCCTTTTTCTCTAGGAGGATCATGGGACTAATCACAGCTCTGTGCTGATTATCTGTGTGAGCCTAGGCCTGGACACAGTTCTGACTACTGGAAGGTATTTTTATGGAACCCAGTTACATTGAGCTTCTGTAAAATTAGTGTTAATACCGTTGGTCTACCTGGCAAAATTACAGGGAGCCTCAAGTGAGATGAGAGACAAGAGAACATTTTGTAAACTCTAAAGAGTAACATAAATGAAAACGCTCCTTTTTGGTTTGTGTGTATATGTGTGTGTTCATGTGTACAAGGGTGCACATGTGTGCAGGTGCATGTATGGAGGCCAGAAGAAAACCTCTGTTCACCTTGGTCTTTGTGATAGGGTCTCCTCCTATTGGCCTGGAACTGATTAAGTAAGCTAGGCTGGCTGGCCAGGCAACACATCGCAGCCATGTGCCCACCTGTCCCTGCCCAGCGCTGAGATTACAGACAGGAGCCAGCCAGCACACCCCGCTTATTCTTACTGAGCATCTGGGGATGGAGCTCACATCCTCATCCCTGGCCAGTAAGCATTACTGGTCTGTCACCCCCTTGGACACTCTTTCTAGTGCCCTTATTTTACTGTGCTAAGAACACTTGAGATGTTAAGTGTTCAGTACAGTGTTGTAACCTATAGGCAAAGCAGCATTGTTCAGACCGTACTCTAGAGACTGTGTTGCTCCTTTTAGTGAACAAATTAAGTACTCCCAGCTGATTTGAAAATACTAGACTGTTAACAACATCCCTAAGGTTTTTAGCCTCTTTCCTTAAGAGATTGCCCTCTGGACTGCTAAGAGCCAGATTTACAGTGGCTTGAGTTTTTCTCTATGTCCCTAGCAAAGAACCAAAAACACAATAATTCTAATAAAGCTAGTCCAAAAGTACTTGGTGAGCACTTTTTGGTTCCAGACGCAGTAAACCATTGGTGTGACTTATCATGGGATATTGGACTTGGGTGCAACTAGAGGTGGCAACATTTATCCCTCCATCTTCCAGGCCTTGTGCACACTCCTACCAATGAGAAGGAAGGACTTCTGTCAATTGGCTACAGTAAAGAAGGACAAAGGTCTTGAAGGAAGTCTTAATATTGTTAGGAAATTTGGCAAGGTGGGATTTGTAAGTAGACTGTACAGAGCTTAGGACATGTTTGAATTTTGATGTCACCTGTTACTTTGAGAAAATGCTAATGAGGTTTAATTTAATAAAAATAAGGCTGGGCGGTGGTGGTGCATGCCTTTAATCCCAGCACTCGGGAGGCAGAGTCAGGCGGATCTCTGTGAGTTTGAGGCCAGCCTGGGCTACAGAGTAAGTTCCAGGAAAGGTGCAAAGCTACAGAGAGAAACCCTGTCTCGAAAAACAAAAAATAAAAATAAAAATAAGCTTTCGGTAATCAGAATAATGTGGAAACAAGGACAATGATGCTTCCTCCCTGTGTCTATATACAGCTGCAAATTATACCAAATAATCCCAGAGTCTAAGGCTGTGGTGATTCTGTCTGGGACATTTTCCAAATACTTCTACTTAGCCCTGTGCCATTCTGCAGCTGATCAAAAAGTAGAGAAGGGACCCAGCCTACATATTTTGATAAAACACACACACACACACACACACACACACACACACACACACACACACACTTTGACCTACTGTCCTAGGTGAACATGTTTTGAGTACCTAGTGGCTCCCTTTATTTTTATGCAATATCTTATCCCATAGAACCAGAACATTTTAGTAAGTATATCCCCGTCTCCAGCTTCAGAACCAGTAAATAAGCTTGGATTCTGCAGTTCTAAAGTGAGAGCACTTGCTCTTGCAGAGGACCAGGTGCAGTTCCCAGAACCTGTATGGTGACTCACAGCCATCCTTAACTCCAGTTCCAGGGGATCTGATGCCCCCTTCTGACCCCCACAGGCACCAGGATGCATGTGGTACACATACAGCTGGCAAAACATTTATATGCATGCAATAAAATAAAGAAATCTAAGATTTTTTTAAATATGAGAGGTGTGATAAGATAATAGTTAAGTCTCCTTTAAACTTCTTTCTTTTATTTTCTTTTTATTTTTCTTCTCTCTCTCTCTCTCTCTCTCTCTCTCTCTCTCTCTCTCTCTCTCTCTCTCTCTCTCTCTTTTAGACAGAGTCTCACTATATAGCCCTAACTGCCTGGAACTCGATATATGGAACAGCCTAGCTTTGAGCTCACTGAAGTCTGCCTGCCTCTTCCTGCCTTTGCCTGCCTCTGCCTCCCAAATTCTGGGATTAAAGGTGTGCCTTACCACACCTGGCTCCTTGAATTCTTAATAAAATTAACTAGATTAATATTCTTAATAACATTAACTAGATCTATGGAATGGAAAAGTCCCAAGATATGTCTAGAAAAGTAAGCCAGTCCAAGCAAAATAAAGGGTTTTTCTAGAAAAAAAATAATTGAAAGAAGAGTCATACAGTATCGTGACTCAGAACAATAGACAGTTTTGAGCCCTAATCCCAGCACTCAATAGCTCTGTGACTTTGGGCAAGTCATAGGGCCTCCTGCATAGACCCTTCCAAGTTTGGCAGCAGCAGTGGGGGGTGGGGGGGTGGGGGGGGGGTTGGCACACGCCTTTAATTCCAGCACTTTGGAGGCAGAGACAGGAGGATCTCTGAACATGAGGTCAGCCCTGTCTGTAGAGTTCCAGGACAGCTAGAGCTTCACAGAGAAACCCTGTCTGAAAAAAAAAAAAAGACCCTTTCAGAAAGAGTGGTTATAGATAAGGCAATACAAATAAAGTGTAGCATAGAGACTGACAGTTGCTCAAAACATGGGCACCTTGTAGACTGGGAACAAGCAGGACAGAGAATCTAGCCTGCCAGAGAGAAGGCAACATCCCAAGGCAGCGTTCATTCCTGATAATGATATTTACTTGTGTCAGAAACACAAATCTTACAAATATTTAACAGTGTGGAAACCTTTGTGGATAGATTGCTATGCCACACTCATGTATGGCCTCCAGGGATTTGACCTGACTAGGGTGGTGAGGGGGTGAAGAAAAGACAGACAGATGGATACATAGGCACACAGAAAAACCAGGGTCAGCTGCCGGAGCAGCTGAAGCACTCTGAACACCCAGTGTGTTTAGTATACAGAGTTAAACGGGGAGGCAGGGTTACTGCACACAGCTGAACAAGGAGGCAGAGTTACTGCACACAGCTGAACAAGGAGGCAGAGTTACTGCACACAGCTGAACAAGGAGGCGGGTTATTGCATACAGATAACAGGAGGTGGGGTTTATGGTGTACAGCTGAATAAATGAGGAAGATTTAGCTAATCCCATCGGAGCTGTCTCTGTAGGGGAGCAGTCTTCAGGCCATAAATATGTTAGGAGAGAGCTATGGTGGACATTTTCTGCATATACTATCAACATTTACACTCAGACCAGAGGAAGGCTTTGCCATTTTCTCAACCAAGCGGAGAAGGCTTTGCCAATCCCCTCTGAGCCACACTCTGGGGGAAGGCTTTGCCATTCCTTCGTGGACCTGAGGCTTTGGGGCAATACTTATGTCTACAAGTATACATTCATTCAGGACTTCACTCATTCATGGCTTCCTTCTCTCCTTACACTACAGTATTTTCTTTCATCTTTGATGCTGAGAAGGTTTATCTTACAGTGCTTTTAGGATAAGAAGTCTTTAGCACTTACATTATATGTTGCGCAATAAAGTCCTTCACATTTTTATTGTTATTTGAATTCCACTGTGATCTACTACTGTAAATAATCAGGAGCCGGGGAGTCGAAGACCTTGTCTTTCATTCAACCAATAGTTATGCAACATTTGTCATGTGCTGGACTCTTTGCTGGGCCCTGGAGGAAACAGTGGTAAGAGGAAATAGAAATGTCAGCAGTGTGAAGAAAAGAGACAATGCAAGCAGGCAGGAACTGTGAAAGATGGAAAATCTTTTGTTGCAGGGAGTATAAGGCACTGTAGGCTAATTTGCAGGAAGTACTCTTGACCCTAACTGAGGAACCAGACCAAATCAAATATTCTTTTCCTCCTGAAATAAAGTACTACAGAATATCAGAGGAGTAAGGAGGAGTTAGCCGGGATGATGCCTGAAATTAGTTTACAAGTCAAGACTAGCTTGCTTAAATAGTGAGTCCTTGGTGCAGTATAAGGGTGATAATTAGCACTGCAGAAGTAGGAAGGAGCCTCTGGTTTAGAATTTTATTCCTGTCAACAGAAAATAAGACCAAGGTTAGTAGACCGGAGGCCCGGGGTGAATGAACAGTAACATTGTAAAATGACCCAGAGAGACAACGGAATGGGACCGTGTGGGTGAAGGGTTTATTCCTCCCTCAGTTCATAAAAGTGCAGAAAAACAAAGGGAAGGATGATGGCCAGATCGTGTTCCCTGTAACCTGGCATCTGATCTTGGCTTAGCCACAAGCTCCTTTTTTTCTTTTAAATGTGATTTGGAGTAAGACTGTCCCTCTCAGAGACTCTGATCTCTCCACCTGTCAGCTGTGTGGCTTGACCAGAAGACAAGAAGGAGCCACTATGGCCTGGGAATCCAAGCAGGCAGATGACAGCATCGAATAGCCTAGGCCTGCAGTTCAGCAACATTGGCACTTGAGCCGAAGACTGACTAGAGCCCAGAGGAATGCAGTAGCCGATGTTGAGCAGAGGAACTCGCTAGTTGCCAGTTCTAGAACGGGAACCTCAGTGAAGGCTTGTGGAGGACAGCACGGTGTGAATTCACTTGGTTTCCTGTCTGCCTTCTGCCTTTTGTCGTTGGGACCTTGGGGGAGACAGACTGAGGGAAAGGATCTTGTAGACACAGGGCCCTAGCCAAAGGTAGTTGATTGTAAATGGTGGCGTTTCAGTGACCAGCTAGAAAAAAAACGATCTTAGGAATACTGTAGTGAGCATTAATCATGGCAGCATAATGCCCATCTATTCTGCTTCCAACAGTACCCCTACCTTCATTTATAGCCCTGATCCCCCCACATGAATCTTGTCGTTCTCTCACTCTTGGCAAGAGAAGAAACACTTCAAACCAGGAGGGAGAGAGATTTTTGTCACTTGGAAATAAAGCAGTAAGTCTTTCTCAGATGGCAAAACTTCAAGATGAAACCAGAAGCTTCTAAGGGCCATGTCCCTTTGTGTGCTGAAGAAACCAGTCTGTAACTGTAAACTGAGACTCAGACGGGCAGGCACGTGGGAAGGAGGGAAGAGTAGGAATCCAGTTGTTGGAAGTGGTACACACCTATAACCCCAGTACTTGGGAAGCTGAGGCAGGAGGATCTGGAGTTCAAGATGTCCTTCACTCCATAGCAAGTTTGAGGCCAGCCTGAGCTATTTATGAGACTTTATCTCAAAACAAGAACAAAAAATTTGCCTTGTGAAATTGTTGTGTGTATTTCTAGGTACAACTTTTGCCTTGCTGATGTGAAAAATAAGTTTGTCTTTCACATTTTGAAGTTTCTCTCTCTAGAGCTCCCCCAATCAAAAGGATTTCCTGACCCAGAAGTCCTTTATTTTCTGCTGGAGGTAGCTCTGCCATGGTTCCTCTGAGTTGCTTCTCACAAGGACCTCCTGAGGTAGACAAGGCAGGGTTGTTTCTATTTTATATCCAGAACCCTGGGGGCCAGATGCCTCGGTGGGTGAGGCGCTCTCCTTGCAATCTTGATGACCTGAGTTCCATCTATGATGCCCATAGAGAGGAGGAGGAAGAAGAGGAGGAGGAGGAGGAGGAGGAGGAGGAGGAGGAGGAGGAGGGGGGAGGAGGAGGGGGAGGGGGAGGGGGAGAGCTGACTCTTGAAAGGTGTCTTCTAACTCACAAGCAGGTACCGTGGCTTGTGTATACCCCACCCCCGCCCCCAAAGTACATACATACATAAATAAATAAATAAGCATCCTGGGATCCCAAGTCACATAGTGAGTAAAGCAAGGTCTTAAACCACGGTATGGCTATTACTGTTTCCAGGAAGTACAGTCCTTTGTCCACCCCAGTACTGCAGGGGCTCACCATGTTTTGTCCATTCAGTCAACAAATACCATTGCGTCTGTGTAGGGCCAAATGCCATTTCAGGTGGTGTTGAATGGGATGGTTGCCTCAAAGCTGACACTCAGGCCTTTGCAAATGACTAGTAGACGGGCAATGACAGGAAAGGGTAGTAGAATGCGTCCTTCTGAAGGAAATTTGGGAGGGGAGCATGAAGGTAATAGGGAAGGATTCTCAGCAGGACCACTGCCTCTCCTCAATATCCTTGAGGTCCGAGTCTAAATTGTTTTTACAATGTATGACTTGGGGCTGGAGAGATGGCTCAGCTGTTGAGAATGCTGGCAGCTCTTCCAGAGGAGCACGATTGGTTCCCAGCATGCACATGGAGGCTGACAGTCATTGTAACTTCAGTTCCAGGGGATCTGATGGCCTCTTCTGGCAGATTCTGTGCTGCATAGACGTGGTGTACAGACATACACGAGGCAGAACACCCATACACATAAAATAAGATACAAATGTTTGACGTAAAACTCTGTGGCAGCTGTGATGTGCTCAGCGCATCATCAGAGTACAGTCTGCAGCCAGCACAACTGTGGGCTTGTTTACTCTGCCTTCCCGAGGGACTAAGATTTAGAGTGAGATCCAGGAGTTAACAGACCATAACCTGTAGGCCCCAGGCATGTCCAAGAACTAGGGGAGCTGCCATTATTTATTGCCAAGGTGCCATTATTTATTGATCTGGACACAACCCTGCTGTGGCTGCTCTGGTGTCTTCCACTGACACCATAATCCCTTCTCCCCTCTCTGCAGTCTCTCTCTCTCCCTCTCCCTGCTGGCCTCTCTCTTTCTGTCTCTCTCTGTCTCTGCCTCTCTCTCTGTCTCTCTGTCTCTCTCTCTCTCTCTCTGTCTCTCTGTCTCTCTCCCTCTCCCTGCTGGCCTCTCTGTCTCTGTCTCTCTGTCTCTGTCTCTCTGTCTCTGTCTCTCTCTCTCTCTCCCCTGCTGCTCTCTCTCCTCTCCCTCCCTCCCCGCTGGTCTCCCACTCTCCCTGAGGTCTGTCTATCAGGGACCAGATCAAGAGCTTGTATTTTCATCCGTAGCCCTCAACGATGTTTAATTGAAAACGGGAAAACCTGATCCACTCTGGGAGGGCCTCGCCTGCAAGGATGAGTATCAGAAACCTGAGAACCGAATGGCCTCCTCAGGATTGGCTACTAATTATTTTATGCCCTTGACCGCAGTTTTTTGTTCTGTGACTTTTTTTTTTCCTCAATGGGAGAAATAAGTACGGGAGCATGAACTCCTCTTGTTTTTTAAATCCTAAACTATCAAGCCTGAGGGGATCCCACGGCATACTTTCCACTCCCAGCATTCTTATGGGGTGAGGATAATCAGCAGATGCAGGTTAAAGGGGAGTACAGAAGCCTTCGGCACATTGCCAGCACATGTGCTCGTGAACATGAGAATTCGTAGAACCAGCTGTCAAGTGGAGTTATTCTCCTGCCACCATCCGCACCTCTGTATGAAGAGAGGACAGAGTCCTCTTTCAATGCCTGTGTATCCTGATCACAAAATGAGGTCCACTTCAGCGATGTCCCTCGTTCCCAGACTCCACCCCCTGACACAATGCCTGCTCGGTTAGCTACCTGGTTAGATTATAATGCTGTGTTGAGTGTGTCAGGATGGGATTGGCGTCATACTACATGTGATATACTACTCTGGCTTCACAGGAAACCCCTTTCATTCTAGACTCCCTCCTGCTCCTCCCTCCCTCTTCATCCCTCTCTCTTGTTTTAAGGAAGCTGTTAAATCTTTTTGTTTGTTTGTTTGTTGTTTGTTGTTTTTTTCGAGACAGGGTTTCTCTGTGTAGCTTTGGATCCTGTCCTGGACTCTCTCTGTAGACCAGGCTGGCCTCAAACTCACAGAGATCCACCTGGCTCTGCCTCCCATGCTGGGATTAAAGGCGGTGCGCCACCACCGCCCAGCAGAAGCTGTTAAATCTTATACTGTTGGTGGGGCAATAGTGGCACACATCTGTAATCCCACCACCATTTAGGAGGTAGAGGCAGGGAGATCAGAAGTTCAAGGCCAGTCTGGGCTACTTGAGACTCTGTCTCAAAACACACACACACACACACACACACACACACACACACACACACACCACCACCACCACCACCACCACCACCACCACCATCACCACCACCACCACAACCACCACCACCACCACAACCACCACCACCAACAACAACAAAACAACCACACACACACACACACACACACACACACACACACACACACACACAACAACAACAACAACAACAACAACAAAACAAACACACACACACACAAAACAAACAAACAAACAAATAAACTGCTAGGCTGCTCAGTGGAAGAACCTTATAGGGTGTTTGGTGTAGTGCTTCTGATTACAACCAAGGGCATTGAGTGACATAAGGCAGCCCAGGAATAAGAAGTGGGACTTTGAAATCACATACAGTGTTCTTTCTGCCATAGGTGTTTTCTTTTTCCGCTCGATCACTGCTGAGTTTGGGTATGGATCTGGAAGACTGTCACCTCCTCTCAGTGTGAGTTCAGCGGTGTCCACCTCGGGGATTCACAGCATGTGCAATGTGGCCATCACAGGGAGCGGCTGCTGAGAGAGGGGAGTGTGTTAGCTGCCGGCCTCTAGTTGCTGTGCCTTCTGGAATCCTCTGCAGTATTACGGCAGCCCTACTTCACCCCATTACAGTCTCCTCAGCTTTTTCTCTGCTGACTGAGCACCACACACATGCCCAATGTGGGGTTCCTCAAACAAGCAGTCTCAGATCCCCATCATCATCACTGCTAAGACTTTCTTAGACTGAATGGCAGATTTAGGCTCCCACTACCCAATTTTCCTTCCTCTGCCTTTTTAAATGGGTGCCGAAGCTACATTACCTTCTGAAGCTCTCCCACCAACTCTGGACACCTCATCCCTGGATCCTTCCCACATCCTTTTCCCCCCTCAGTAAGACTTCTTGCTTGTCTCACTCCATCTGGGTGTCTGCTTCCTGGAGGATCCAAATAGGCACTCCAAGATAGTAAGCCCGGTTTACACAGAATTGGTGGGGGCTTTCCTCTGCTGGGAGGGGACTCATTCTAAGGCTAAGTGATGTGAGTCTAACCCGAATCCTCAGAATCACAGAGTGAGTCCAAATTCAACCTTAGGTTTATCATGTAGGTTTGGTTTTTAGTTTCTATGGCTATAGCCATCTCACCAATGACTCATGTCTAATAATTTGTGGAGGGGAACTGTAGCTGAGTAAGAAATCATTGAAATACAGAAGAGCTGCTTTACTGAAAACTCTGTCAAGCAGGTGTAAAAGCAGGCTTGAGAGATGGCTAAGCACTTAGGAGCATATGCTGCTCTTCGCGGAGGACTAGAGCTTGGATGCAAGCACCTTTGTCAGGTAGTGTGCCTGTGATTCCAGTTCCCGGGGAAGGTGATGCCTCTGGCCTCTGAAGGGACTTACAAACACACACACACACACACACACACACACACACACACACACACACACACACACACACAAGAATGCACTTGTGTGCACACACAAACAAAAGCCACAGCAAGAAGGTGTTTTGACTCACAGACCACTGGAGCTAAAAGGAGCCACAGAGATCCAATCTACTTACTGTTTTCCAATCTGTGTTCCATAGAGGTTTCCATGAGCCTGGGGCAGAAGATCGCATGTGAAACCTACATGTATGATAGTTCAAAGACAGGAGAGAATGATTAAGTTTACTTCAGAGGGTGAAGGGTGAGCAGATGAATTAACGTAAGTCCAGTGGCTGATAAGTGGAGGAACTAAGATGAAAATCCTGATTTTCTGACTTGTGTACCTGATTTTGGACTTTAGCTGTTACTTCTGCAGTTAGTGTGGTGCCTGTGAACCCCCAGACTGGAAAGAACTGGGGGGAGGGGCATGATGTGTGTTTTGTTTCTGTAGTCTTACTCCTGGGAGAATGGCATATTAAATTTGCCCTTTTGGATGCAACTGGGTGACTCTAAACAAGTCAGCTTTTCCTAGAATCTGGTTTTCATTATTTTTATATCCTCAGGCTTACAGGTCAGCTGGGATGAGGATACCAAGAGAACTGCCTAATGGAAGGAATCTGTTTGCTTCTAACTTATGACATGAACAACCTCGGCACACAGATCGAAGCCCATGGGAACTTGTACTGCCCTAAAGCAATCTGCAGAACAGAATTTGTGAGAGCTATCTAAGAGATATTTACTGCACTCCTTTAAAAAGGACATATTGCCGGGTGGTGGTGGCGCACGCCTTTAATCCCAGCACTCGGGAGGCAGAGCCAGGCGGATCTCTGTGAGTTCGAGGCCAGCCTGGGCTACCAAGTGAGTTCCAGGAAAGGCGCAAAGCTGCACAGAGAAACCCTGTCTCGAAAAAACAAACAAACAAACAAAAAAAAAAAAAAAAAAAAAAAAGGACATATTATCAAATCCCTTTAGGCAGTGTTCTCTATTCCATCTGACTTCGGGATTCAAGCTGCAGAGAGAAAAATCTCTGAAACTCTGAAAATGTTGTCTATTTTACCTACCCAGTGTTTAGAAACTTAGGGGGTTGTTGATAGAAACTTCCGTTCAAATAAAATCTATTCTCATCGTCCATAACACACTTGGGAAATGCTGGGAACAAAGCAAGTCTCAGTGGTGGTCCTGACTCTGCCAGAATTTGCAGTTTTGCTTTTCCTTGAACTTCAATTCCCTCATCTGCAAAACAAGAGAATTAGAATCAGTGATTGAGAGGGAAAATGATTATACTTTATACATGCCTGTTCCATGCAAAACGTGGTTATGCCAGCAGACCATAAGAGCCCCATACTCTATCGTTCACTAGTTTATCTACTTTATCTGTGTGTGTGGGGGGGGGGGAGGTGTTGTGCGAGTATATGCATGTAGATGCCAGAGACCAGCATCAGGTGTTGGCCTCTATCGGTCTCTCCCTTCTTTCTGCCAACTCTTTAGGGACAGGGTCTCTCACTGAGCCTGAGGCTTATCAGTTCAGCTAGTGGGATCTGCCTGTCTTTGGCCTCAGAATTACAGGGACACGCGGCCTCACACAGCCTGTGGGTCTGGGAATCCGGACTCAGGTCCTTACGATTATGCAGCAAGCACTTTACCCTTGAGCCATTTTTGAGACAGGGTCTTGCTCTATAACCCAGGCTGGCCTCAACCTCGATCCTCCTGCCGTCACTTCAGAATGCTGGTATGATAGACCCGAACCAGTACACCCAAATCCCTGCTGTTGGCTTGGTACTCGGCTGTTACCACCTTCTTAATGATTTTCAAAAAGGGGCCCCACATTTTTATTTTATAATGGTCATGGAAATTATACAGTTTGTCTATGTACCATTATATCTAATACTTATATCAATTTAATGAGAATGGATGTATATATCTATGGCATGTGGATATGGAAATTAAGAATCTGACTGGTTAAAATAAATTGCTCCAGGTCACAAGAGAAGTGATGAGCAGAGCCAGGGTTCTAGTCTCCTCCATCTTCTCTGAAGCCTTTGTTCTCCCACTACGCCAGCTGCCAGGGAAAACACTCGACAATTCTAAGAATCTTTTGTTCTGTAAACTACTAGATCTGTCTATTAGACAAAATAGTTTTATTTATCCCACTTACTGTCACAGAACTTGATGGTTCAGTGAATTAATGAGTAATAGACTAAACATCAGATGACAGGTCTAGAAGTTAGCCATGAAGTCCAGCATGTCTTATTCTACCATTACTATAGTACATGTGTCCTTGGCCAGCCCAGTTTAATTCTTTGAGTCTTGTTGTTTCTTCATGGGTATGTTGTGAGGATTAAACAAAACAATGCATTGCCTAATACATTTTAATCCCTTAATAGACATTACTGTGCTTTTATTGATGTAGCCAAACTAGATTTGCTACTATGATCTTAGAACTTCAACTACTATAAATAATTTTATTTGCTGGTAACCAGTACAAGAACATCACATTTCTTCACTTCAAGAAGAACAAACAACAGACTGACTCCAGCCAGGGAAGCAGGTAGGCTGAGTGCAGATCTTCACCTCTCCCTCTAGTCCTCCAAATCCAGTCCTCCAGTCTGACCCCAGCCAGGGAAGCAGGTAGGCTGACTGCAGATCTTCACCTCTCCCTCCAGTCCTCCAAATCCAACCCTCCAGTCTCATCCTCAGTTCTGCAGCAGACTACCAGCGGAGGCCTCTCCTCACTCTGCCCCCATTCCCAGGGGACTAAGTAGATCCTAGTGAAACACCCTGCTTTCCTCCCTCTCGTGGACCCCCTCAGCACCTCCCCCCAGCCCATCCCCATTCCTAAGTGTCAGCTCCCAATACCTAGAAACACATTTTACCTGGAACCCGCAGTGGCCACACTTACCAGGACCCCAGAAAAATTTCCTATCAGACAACACAAAGTCAAGAGCAGATATCAGCATCTACAATTACAATCTTCCCAAACCCAGATGCCTAGATGCCAGTGTAAAAACACAGTCAAAAACAGCCGGGATGCAGAGCAGTGGTGGCACACACCTTTAATCCCAGCACTCTGGAGGCAGAGCCAGGCGGATCTCTGAGAGTTCAAGGCCAGCCTGGTCTACAGAGAGAGCTCCAAGACGGGCACCAAAACTACATGGAGAAACCCTGTCTCTAAAAACAAAAAACAAAACAAGACAAACAAACAAAGAAAACCCCCAGCTAGGACAATATGTCTCCATTAGAGCCCAGCAACCCTAGCACAGCAGATCCAGAGTACTGCAACATAGCTGAAGCACAAGAAAAAGACATTAAGTGGCCTTTATGGATATAGTAGATGTCCTTAAAGAGAGAATTAATAAATCCCTTACAGAAATCTATGAAAACACAAACAGTGGAAGAAAACGATAAAGCAGTTCAAGACCTGAAAATGGAAAGAGAATCCATAAAGAAAACCCAAACTGAGGGAAATCTGGAAATAAACAATTTAGGAACTTGAACAGGAACCTCAGAGGCAAGCCTCACCGACAGAATACAAGAGATGGAAGAGAGACTCTCAGGCACTGAAGACATGATAGAAGAAATGGATATATCTGTCAAATGAAAGGTTAAGTCTAAAAAAATTATGGCACAAAACATCCAGGAAATCTGGGACACTATGAAAAGACCAAACCTAAGAATAATAGGAATAGAGGAAGGAGAAGAAACCCAGGTCAAAGGCACAGAAAATATTTTCAACAAAATCATAGAAGACAATTCCCCTAACCTGAAGAAGGAGGTGCCTATCAAAGTACAAGAAGCACACAAAACACCAAATAGATTGGACCAGAAAAGAAAGCTCTCTCGGCACATGATAATCAAAGCACTAAACACACAGAACAAAGAAAGAATATTAAAAGCTGTAAGGGAAAAAGAGCAAGTAACATATAAAGGCAGGACTATTAGAATTACACCTGACTTCTCAGTGGAGACTCTAAAAGCCAGAAAGATGTATCACAAACTCAAGAGACGATAGATACCAGCCCAGAAAAGCTTTCAATCACAACAGATGGAGAAAATAAGACATCCCGTGATAAATACCAAATTTAAGCACTATCCATCCACAATAGAGCCTCATGGGGGGATGCAAGAAGGAAAACTCCAACCTAAGGAGGTTAACCACACCCAAGAAAACATAAGGAATAAATTATCCCAGACCAGCAAATGAAAAGAGAGGAAACACAATACAACACACAAAGACAAACAAACAAGCCCCACAACAACAAGAAAAATAACAGGAATTAACAAACACTGCTCATTGCCCCAATAAAAAGACACAGACTAACAGAACAGGTCCAAAACCAGGATCCATCCTTCTGCTGCGTCCAAAAAACACACCTTAACATCAAGGATAGACATCACCTCAGGGTAAAAGGATGGAAAAAGATATTCCAAGAAAATGGACCTAAGAAACAAGTTGGTGTAGCCATTTTAATAACTTACAAAATAGACTTCAAACTACAACTAATTAGAAGAGATAAGAGATAAGGAAGGACACTACATATTCAAATGAAAAACCCACCAAGAGGACATTGCAATTCTTAACATCTATGCACCAAATACAACGGCACCCAAGTTTGTAAAAGATACACTACCACTACTTAAATCACATGTTGACCCTCACACACTGATAGTGGGAGACTTCAATGCCCCACACTTAGGTTATCCAGACAAAAACTAAGCAGAGAAATTCTGGAGATACTGACATTATAAGCCAAGTGGACCTAACAGATATTTACAGAACATTTCACCCAAACACAAAAGAATATACCTTCTTCTCAGTACCTCATAGAACTTTCTCCAAAATTGACCACATACTCAGGCACAAAGCAAGTCTCAACAGATACAAGAAAATTGAAATAACCCCCTGTCAGATCACCATGGATTAAAGCTGGATGTCAACAATAACAGAAACCTTACAAACTCATGGAAACTGAACAACTTACCACTTAATGAAAATGGGTCAAGACAGAAATAAAGAAGTTAAAGACGTTTTAGAATTGAATGAAAATGAATACACAATATGTCCTAGTTTATGGGATGTGATGAAGGTAGTTCTAAGGGACAAATTTATAACAACAAGTACTTACATAAAAAAATTCCAGAGACTGCATACTAGAAATTTAATAGCACACCTGAAAGTTCTAGAAAAACAAGAAGAAATCGCACCCAGAAGGAGTAGACAGTGAAAAAGAATCAAACTCGGGACTGAAATTAATAAAGAAGAAACAAACAAATATTGTAAATCAGTATGATTTACAAACCCTTATCCAAACTAACTAAAAGGGGGAGAGAGAATATCCAAATTAACATAATTAGAGATTAAATGGAGGACATGACAACGGATACTGAGGAAATCCAGGGAATCATAAGGACATTCTTTTAAAAAACCTGTACTCAAGCAAATTGGAAAATCTAAAAGAAATGGTAGTTTTCTCAATATACACCACTTACGAAAGTTAAATCAAGATCAGGTAAACAATTTAAATAGACCTATAACCCCCTAGTGAAATAGAAGCAATCATTAAAAGTCTCAAAAACCAAAAGAAACCCAGGGCCAGACGGTTTTAGAGCACAATTCTACCAAACTTTCAAAGAAGAGTTAATGCCAATACTCCTCAATAACGTCCACAAAATAGAAGGAACATTGCCCAACTCGTTTTGTGAGGCCACAGTTCACCCTTATCCCAAACCACATAAAGACTCATCAAAGAAAGAATTACAGACCAAATTTCCTTGTGAACATAGATGTAAAAATTCTCAAAACAAAACAAAACAAAACAAACAAACAAAAAAACCTCTTAAAAACTTAACTCAAGAACACATCAAAAAAAGATCATCCACCATGGTCAAGTAGGTTTCATCCCAGAGATTCAAGGATGCTTCAACATATATAAATTGGTAAATGTAATCCACCATATAAGCAGATTAACTAAACTGAAAGACAAAAGCTACATAATCATCTCATTAAATGTAGAAAAGGCTTTTAACAAAATCCAACACCCCTTCATGATGAAAGTCCTGGAGAAATTAGGGATACGAGGGACATACCTCAACATAATAAAGGCAGTTGACAGCAAGTCCATAGCCAACATCAACTCAGATGGAGAGAAACTCAAAGCAGTTCCACTAAAATCAGGAACAAGGGAAGGTTGTCCACTCAATACCTATTCAATAAAGTACTTGAAGTCTTAGCTAGAGCAATAAAACAACTGAAGGAGATCAAGGGATACAAACTGGAAAGGAAGACGTCAAAGTATCTTTTATTTGCAGATGATATAGTAGTAGACATAAGTGACTCTAAAAGGTCCACTGGGAAACTCCTACAGTGTTTAATAAACACTTTCCAGAAAAAGTAGCTGGATACAAAATTAACTTGCAAAAATCAATAGCTGTCCTTTATACAAACGACAAATGGATTGAGAAGAAATCAGGGAAGCAACACCCTTCACAATAGCCTCAAATAATAGAAAATGTCTCTGGTTACTCTAAGCAAACAATTGAAATACTTGTATGATTTAAAACCTTAAGACATTGAAAAAGATATCAGCAGATTGGAAGATCTCCCATGCTCATGAATCAGTACGATTAACATAGAAATTACCATTCTATCAAAAGCAATCTATAGATTAAATGCAATCCCCATCAAAATTCCAACATAATTTTTCATGTATCTTGAAAGGACAATTTCAGCTTCATATTGAAAAACAAAAACCCAGAAAATCCAAAGAATAAAAGAACTGCTAGAAGTATCACCATTCTTGATTTCACTACAGAGCTATAATAAAAACTACATGTGTTATTAGCACAAAAACAGACACTTTGATAAATGGAATTGAATTGAAGACCCAGACATAAATCCACACATCTATGGACACCTGATTTTTGATAAATAAGCAGAAATACACAATGGAAAAAAGCATCTTCAACAAATGGTGCTGGTCAGACTTAATGTCTGCATGTAGAAAAATGCAAATATATCTATTTTATATAAATTTTGTGCATTTATCATCCTGCACAAAACTCAAGTCCAAGTGGATCAAAGACCTCAACGTAAATCTGGGTACACTGAACCTGATAGAAGAGAAAGTGGAAAATATGCTTGAATACATTGGCACAGGAAAAGACTTTCTGAACAGAACACCATTTGCACAGGCACTAAGATCAACAATCACTAAATGGGATCTCATGAAACAGAAAAACTTCTGCATAGCCAAGAGCACCATCATTCAGACAAAGTGGCAACCTATAGAACGGGAAAAGATTTTTACCAACTACACATCCAATACAAGGCTAATATCCAAAATATATAAAGAAC